TTATCCTTGATCAAACAAACCAACTTGTACTCCTTCATTTTGCTTCTAACAACCTTAATCAACTTCTTTTGTAAGTCCAGTAAAAAGTCCTTATCCAAGTCAATTTCTTGGCTTGTCATTTGTATTTCCACTCTAATTGTTTTCTCTGTCCATAATTTTTTAATTTTCCAATATTTCTACAAATTCTTTACGTTCTGATATTTCTACATCAGGCAACGTCGTTTCATCTCTTTATCTTATAAACCTTCCAAGATGTTCTCTTTCACATCAAACATCATTGCTGAGATTGAAGCTGCTATTTTTTGACCCCATTCTTCAAAGATCTCCTGAAGCATTTGAAATGTCATAGTGTTTTCTGTCATTTTGCAATTCCAATACTGACCAAACACAAGAGGCAGGCTCTTCACTTTTTTTTTCTTTTTCCCTTTCTGCCTGGAATCTTTAGTCCCCTCTAGTGTTCAATTTCTGAAATCATAAAGTCTCAAATTTCTGTTATGATTTAGGATAGACTAAACAAATTAGTTTGTATAATTATTTCCAAAATCTTATAGCAAAAGTCTTAATATTCCATTATTCCAAGTTTGTCTGGTCCCTTAATTTGTTTACAATTTTCTTAAATCAAATTCTTATTTAGCTTTTTGCCATTTATTAGGGTAGGGTCTGGATGGGGAACAACAGGCTTCAACTGAACCCTGGCAAGACTGAGTGGCTGTGGGTTCTGGGGCCTTCTGATGCTAGAGTTATGCCATCTTTGGTACTGAATGGGGTTGCACTGCCCTAGACAGACCCTGTGCACAATCTGGGGGTCCTCCTGGACTCACGACTCCTGCTCGAAGAGCAGGTGGAAGTTGTGGCTAGGAGGGCCTTTGCACAGCTTCGTGTTGTGCGCCAGTTGTGCCCATTCCTAGATCAGAGGGACCTAATCACTGTCACTTATGCCCTGGTCACCTCCCGTTTGGATTTCTGTAATGAGCTCTACATGGGGCTGCTCCTGAAGAGTATCCGGAAGCTTCAGCTGGTGCAAAATGCAGCGGTGCGGGCAGTTACGTGTGCCCCCAGAGCAGTACACATTACACCTCTGCTTCGCAAGCTGCACTGGTTGCCAGTTTGCTTCCGGGTCCAATTCAAGGTGCTGGTTTTGACCTTTAAAGCCCTTCATGGCATGGGACTGGGTTACCTGAGGGACTGCCTCTCCCCGATTACATCTGCCTGTTCCATCAGATCTGGCAGAGAAGGCATACTGCGGATCCAGTCTGCTAGAGAATTACATTTGGCGGGTCCCAGGAGGCAGGCCTTCTCTGCTGTGGTGCCTGCCTTGTGGAATCTTCTCCCCCGGAAGTGAGAT